CATCTCTCAAATGAATCTGGAATTTCTGACAATGATATTCTGCATTGAAACTCAGTTGCAAGACATGGGAAGACTATTACAACCAAACAATTCTTAAAACCAGTTCGGAACAAGATTAGTTCTGCATTGTGACAACACAAAAGCTATTAATAAATCACTACCAAACGTGGTGTTTTGACAAACTGTATTTGTCAACAAAGAAATCCCTCCTCCTCACCTCACCATCAGTATTATTAATTTCATTCCATTCACTTGTACCCTCACTTCTATTAAAACTAAGTTTTTCCAAATTCTTTCACTCAAGGCTTATCAAGCAATACAAAATTATCAAAGGCATATATTTACTGATAGCAAAAGTCATACTTACTACCAAATATCACATTAGCAGTTATAACAAAAGTAAAAATTTCACCCTAATTACAAACCTTATCACAGATTATTTTTAGAATCATAAAAATATACAGAAATTTAGAGAATTAGAACTTCTCAACAGCATAAAAGAATATGAACAAAAATCTTTTTAAAAATAGGAACAAAAAAATCCCATTTTACTTACATATTTTTACAAGAGCAAACTTTTTCAAAAGTTTAACTATTCGGTATAAACCTTACAGGAAAAATACCTAGACATCCTCTTGCCCATTACAAGATATTTTTGCAGTTGTAAATACACGATGGCTTATAGTCTTCTTTCAGTAAGGCTGATGTAGCTCAAGGGAAAAAAGGCACAAAACCTCCACAGGAGTAATGAAATTTATCTATCCATGATCAGGATAAAAAATCTGAAATTATCACACTGACAAGCGTCACTTCCCACTTTGCCAGCAGCAGCAGCTAGTATTTCCCTTTTGCTTGCTCCACTTACAAGTGGCCTAGCATCTTCCTATCTTTACATGTGGTCTTCATATTTGGAACTCCCCCCAGGCTCAGAGATCTATTCCTTACCCCTACTGAAGTCTACAAGAATGAAGCAAACTGTTTTTAGAAAACATTCATTTTCTCTGCCATGAGCAAAGTTGGCCTTTGCTGGAAAACTGCAGTTAAATTCTCAATCACCTTACCACAGTGTAGCAAATATCCTCTGCGTTACTATCGCTTCAAACACACACATAGGTCTGTAGCAAATATAAGACAGCCTGACTTACCTTAGCCCATGATGAATTTGACTACAGACTAGTCTACTGAGTGACCTCTCTCACAGCAAACAAAACAGACATAAAATTGTAGGGATTAAACTTTGCTGTGTCTTTCTTTCTGTGTTTCTTTCTCCAAAGAAAAATAGTTACAATAACCTCTTAAGCAGAGTTAGACTGTGTAGTTCAAGCATTTACCACTGCTCAGCAATATGCAGTAACCACACCACTGACCTCTTAAAACTTGTTATCTTATGTTCTAAAATATTAAGGGATAATTTGCATTCATCTCTTTTGTGCTTTCTATTCAGCCTACCTTCACTGTCACTTTAAGTCTATCATTCACAAAGTTTACTTTACATGAAAATACATCCATAGAGGCAGCCAGCTGATCCTGCTGAGGAAGTAAATTACGTAGCTCAAAAATGCAGCCGCAAGGGCTTGTGTTAGTTATGTCCAAATGCAATATATTACGCACTCAATATCTAGGATCCATCTATCTTAACATCCCCTGCAAACATAATTTGGTCTTATTTATTAGTCAGTTACTCAATTCTAGCCTGTAAGTCAGAATCAGCATAGAAAACTAAAAAGGAGTACAAGATACCAAATTACTAAGAATGATAAAACTGTGTAAAAGAACATCAATAATTAACTGCAAGAACACTATACAGCATAATTTGCATGTTCAATGTATTATTCTTTTTTAATAATTCTAAAGTCTTTTACAAGTACAGCATTACAAAGGGCTTGCCCTAACAAATATACCCTTCTCTTCAAAATGTCCATATTGCTAAGGTTTTCATCCAGACTCTCTCATCCTTGAATATTCATCATCTTAAAGTCTCATGTAGTGATGTCTCATGTAGTGATCCCTCCACTTGAGGTAATACAACTAGGTTCATTTTTCAATTTCTCTTCTGTCTTTCATTACACCAAAGCCTTCATTTTAATTTTCTACTACCTTTCTCTTATGAGCCAACTAGTCTCACAAGCCCCCTTTCAGGGCCTTTTCTTATTCTATCACTTCATTCTGTACAAAGAAGTCAGCTCTGTCTCAGATTGGCCTCTTCCATTACTCACCTGTTAAGTTTTCAAACCCCTTTATACTTTTCTCAGGTCCCCTGCTACTACCAGCAGGGCTGCCTCTAGCCCTGTGCAAGACTGTCATTATTGTCCTTTAAATCTCCCCTACATCATGATCCTGATGAAAAAATGAGCAAGGCATGTTAATGCCGAGCTTCCCACACTGACTTATTTCATATCTCCTCTGCCTGTGTCTCTCTCATCCACTCTGACCTTCTGCCTTATATTTAAGAGCCATTTCTTCAAGCGGAGCCTGACTTCTGGTTCTGGGTTGGTTGATGATTTCATGCACTGACATATGATTACTGCCCCTAAAATTCTATTAGTATAAGTAAAAATTACAGACATCATTTCCATAGACTACAACTACACTGCTTGTTTTTAAAAGCAATGCAACCTTGCAGTAAAGGTGGCTAATGGTATCCACCATATATAGGCTGCATTAGGAGTGTTGCCAACAGAGGAAGGAGGTGATCCTTCCCCTCTGCTCAGCACTGGTGAGGCCACACCTGGAGTGCTGGGTCCACTTCTGGGCTCTCCAGTACAAGAGAAACATAGACATACCAGAGAGAGTCCACAAAGATGATTAAGGGTCTGCAGCATCTCTTCTACGATGAGAGGTTGAGGGAGCTGGGACTGTTCAGCCTGGAGAAGAGAAAGCTTAAGGGGGATCTTCTCAATGCATACAAGTATCTGAAGGGAAGGTGCAAAGAAGACAGAGCCAGGCCCTTTTCAGTGGTGCCCAGGGACAGGCCCAGAGGCAACATGGACACACTGAAACACACAAGGTTCCCTCTGGACATCAGAAAACTTTTTTACTGTGAGGGTGACCAAGCACTGGCATGAGGTACCCAGGGAGGCTGTGAAGTTTCCCTCCTTGGAGATATTCAAAAGCTGTCTGGACATGGTCCTAGGCAACCAGTTCAAGGTGGCCCTGCTTGAATAGAAGGGGCAGGCCAGGTGACCTTCCAACCTCAACCATTCTGTGATTCTGCTCTCTCAGCCCTGCTAACCAAAGATACTTCTGATGTTTTCAGATTTGAGGCACCTATCTTTTAGTGACAAGCAGAGTCTCATTGTCTTTTTAACTCATAACCTGTTCCCTGACCACACCACAAAGTACATGTCAAAACTCCAATCTACTGCAATAGCAGCACAAATAGCGGATTCCTGCCCCAGTCCTGGATTCCTGGATTTGAGGTTCCCTTATACTAAGCACCGAAAAATCTGTGAGGTGCTGGGGGGTGGGAGGGGGTGGTGGTGAAAATTCCAGTGTTACATTCTGAAATTTGGACCCATGCAAGAGGCATGAGAAGGTGCTAAATGCTTCTTCAGTTGAGGTGAACCATACTTGTGTTGTACCCTTGCACCCAGCTGTGGGAGAGGGAAGGTGTACACCACATACTGAGCTGGCAGGGATTGTTTCATCCATGTCTGGCAATCTTACTCCCCATCTGAACCCTCAGACTAAGTAAATAGATGTCATACCTTATTTTGTGTTAATGCAAAAGACATCAACAACACACAAGCGTTTGAGGCCTACAGTTCAGAAGGCAAAAGTAGGGAGGAAAGCATGCTAGTTAAGACATTATCCTTTATGTCAGTAATAAATCAGTCTCTTCAGAGATCAACTATTCAATACATTGTTACTGACATCAACCCTGCGTGTCAAGTCACACATTTCCACATAGGGAACATTTCCTAATGTAGAAAAAATAGTCCCAACCTTCCCTGCCTGTTTTATTCTAACCAAGCAACAATCCAGAGTAAACTGTCTTTATAAACAACAAGTTATCAATACTCTTAGAACAGAAAAACATCCAGTAAACAAAAGAACATACTGTCTGTTGGGATACAAAATGCTCCACAAAATCTGCTTGATATGTTTTCCTACATATAGATCACGACCTAACACTGTAACATGTAACAAGGATTCTACAATTTGCAATAGGGTAGACTGCATTACTGCACTGCTCTTTTCTGTTTGCTCAAAGCTGTAAGATTTCTACTGACATTCCAGTCTCCATCTTCTCTGTGTGTTATTTCTGAATGACCTTGGTTCTCATTGTATGTGTGGCAATACACTTCTTTGAAGCACATACTGCTGCATTGCACAAGACTGCCCTAAAATAAATCATGTAGAGTAATAATGCCAGAAACACTGACTTATTCCTAACATTGCCAAACAATTCTAAACGCAACTTATCCATCACATGACCTGATTCTCTCCTCAAACATATACTGACAACATCATCTAAAAATGAAATGCTGTCGCCATTTTCACTTTATAGGCACAACTCGATTCAAACTGTATTGTAATCACTACTTACTGTGCCTCGGAATTAACTATTCTGTGTATTAGACTTTACCAAAAAAACAAACTAGAAAAAAACCTATGTGATCTGAACTGAAAAGTAAACCACTTGTCTAGAAGCCCGTATGTGAAAGTAGAACAGTTTGGGGGTTTTTTTAAATGTTAGTCTAAACAGATGAAGTTGACATGGTTTCTTTTCCCACCTCCTAGAAAAACTTTTTACCAGGATATCTCATGGAAGAGTGCTAAAGGACATCTCATGGAATAGTGCTGAAAGCTGGCTCATATGGCATTACTCACAGCAGCATTACTCGTTGTAAATAAGAGTGGAATACTTAGCCCTCACAGGCTAAAAACCAGGTAGAAACTTGGTAAAAAAAAAAGTATTTGAACACAAGGGCAGACAGTAGGTGAAAAACAGCAACTCATCTAAAGTACAGACAGTTATAGGAAAAAAAGGTACACACCGAATTTTCTTCCTCCTCTTCTAGTTCTCTTTGCTGTTCCTCATGTCGCTTTGCCTTTATCTCCATAGCTTCAGTAATCAGATCCCTTAAAATTGAAACTGGCTTAGCATTCTTAATAAATGTATGCTAGGAAAAAAAAAAAATCATTAAATTATTTAACATCATTACAATAGTTACACTTCAGATGTAATTATAAGTATTATTCAACACCACAGATTGAAGTGATAAATAGTATTTTACATTACACAATAATTAAAATCTACACTAACACAACATACAATATCTCTTAGCTACTTCCTAATTAAAATTTTACTTTAACTACTTTTTATAATTGCAAGCCTTGGGAAATGTAATCATATAACAACTGTTTTACAGTTAAGGATATAATTTTCCAAAGGCAACATGCAGTATATAGCAAATAGAGTGGTGATTGTCTGACATAGAAAAACAAACTTTTTCAGATATTCAGTTACAGAATTTAATTAATCTTAACAAACTGACAGTATAAATTAGTGGCTGTAAGCAGAGTAACTATGGCGGCCTACTTCAACGGATCTGTACTTTATATGTCATAAAAAATTTCTTGATCTGTGATGTTGAAATGTGGAACAAGCAAAAAAAAAAAAAAATCTTACTTTTAGCAGGAATGTTAATTTTTAATTCAAGGCCATTTAAAACATTACTTCTTCAACTAATACATGTGCATGATACCATTTACATTGATTTTGCTGTCTAGTAAACACATGCTCTTACAAAAATTCTGAGTTTTGTGTCATTATATGCAAATACAATTAGGCAAAATGTAACTTTAAGCACCTTAGAAATGTATTATTAAACATTAAAATCATTCCACGAACAACAGAATTGATGAAGCCTAGTGTCCTACACCTATTACCTATCTTCTCCCTTGACACATTAATTCAATTACTCTCCTTTTTCCTCCAACATCCTTCCCCACAAGCAGCACTTTCATTCCCACTCACACACACCCACAGCACCTCCAGCTCCATCACACACGCTCCAGATTCCAGCTGGGAGAAAAGGCAACACATACTTGTGCTTGACACGGTATTTGGTTTTTTGGCCAGTAAGCACATGGAAAGAGGAACGCTGAAGCTTTTTTTTTTTCCTTACTTGCACACATTAATGCAAGTCTCTTCTGTCCAGCTGCCAGCATTCAGCTAACTATACAAACTTCATATCTTTAAGCTCTCACGTACTGATTCCACCAGCATACAAAAATCTGTAACTTTCAATTTTTACTTTCCTTGCAATCTACATTTTAGTGTTCTCACAGTGTGGAAAATAAAATATTCATAACACGACTTAGGAATTTGGTGATCTATTACTGGAAACTACTTTGCAAAATATTTATGTTCTCATTGTAGTAGAGTTCACTGGGATTTAAATTTTAAAAGAGCCTATTTCTAGTTAGAGGCCAAATAAATCTAGTATGAGCATCCTACAGATTAAATTTCAGAATATCAGATTCTTATGTAGACTGATGAACAAATAAAATTAATAATAATATTTACCAATAGCAGTGAAATGCATAAAAGAACCCTAAATTATCCAGAAGTTTAATGAAGTAGGAACCAGAAAAGTAAAAGGAGCAGAGGACCTAGCAAAATTTTCACTTCTATCTCATTATCAATGCAAGCTTATTTACAGGAAATTTTAGATTCCATTTCAATCATCATGGATATTATAATTCTTCTAGAAATATTCCCCCCCCCCCCATCTCCCTTCACTACCTTTGCTCTTTGTTTTTTCTTAGTTATTTGTAGGCTTATTATGACAGCCCTGTAGGCAACAGATAACACAAATACAGAGCCAGAAGAGAAAACTTTCTTTACATTTTCGCTCTCCCACACATAATAAAATGTGTGGCTCCTGTAAAATTACGTCCATTTCACAAAGACTAAATCTTTCTTGATAGATCAGTCCCTCCTGTTTTATTTTTGTAGTTCTTTGAAACTTCTCTGCTTTATGTCCATCTCAGTACCAAAAAGATGCAACCATTAAATTTCTGCAGCTACAAGAAGCTCAGGTCAGCAAGTGGGTGAAAGCCAAGCGCACCTTGCCCTGGCTCCATAGGTCCACACCACCAACTACAGCTCAAATTTAAAAGAGCCCGCTTAGTATAAATCACCCCAACAACAAACTCATTATACTGTCTATTTGCATCAGACCCTTCTAGGACACAGAGCAAGCTGTCTGCTTAATCTGACATGACCAGAAGGAAAGATTGAGTATACTCCACGGGTGGTCCACACTGAGGGCTAACATGGGCTCAATTCCTTTACTTAGCACTTGCCTAAATCCTGAGATCTATTGAGGGCCTCTAACCACAAAGCAAGGATCCAATTTTAATAGCAAGAACCAACCCTAAACTATATAAAGAGCAATTAATTTTTAGAAGCAGCAAAGGACAAATAAAATGAGGGTAGAGATACAGGAGCTGACAGAGAAAAAGACCACAGAGTGGAAAAGAAACAAAGCATGATACTTGTTAAAATGAGATTTGCCCTTAGAAATTTTCACAACAGTTCTGGTTTGAGACTAGAGGAATAAAGCCATAAAACTTGCATTTCCTCAGTAACTTAAATACTGACCTGTAGCAGCTGTGTTGCTGTAGCTCTTTGTTCAGGATTTTTCACTAAGCATTTCTTCACAAAATCTGTGAATTCATCAGACCAGAGCTCTGGCTTCCGGAAGGTGGGAGGGGGATTTGTAGGAATCATAAAAATAGCCTAGATAAAAAAATCAAACAACAATAGCAAGTTTAAACAAAACACATGATCACAACACTGAAACCAAGTAAATAAATTGCTTTATCCACCTTTCTTATCAGGCTGAGAATCTGGAAAACAAATTTTAAGTAAGGTACGATTTCCACTCAGATCGAGGTTCAGGAAGTAAATCCATGAGCTACTAAGGTAGCTACTTCCCATTAGATTTTCTCTATTTAAACGGTACCCCACTGAGCACATCACTCCGTATTTTATCTATTGCTGTTTATCAATCTCGAGAGATTATTTTGTTCTTTCAGAAATTCTTAGTAGAAATGACAGCATTGCTTGTTTAAACAGGCACATATAAAGTTGCTGTGAAAAACCAAGTTCACCTTCTCCTCTCTTAACTGCATTTAGTTTTACAGGAGAATTGCTTAGGACATTTGGTAGGATTAATATTTCCTTCTTTATTCATAATTCTTCAGACGTAGTTTAAAACCTTGCTTTTCCTAATAAGATTTAGAAACATATGCTAAAAGACCTAAAACAACACAAAAAGATGATAAACCTAAAATAATCTAGTAACTTGTCTACTAGCAGTGAGAATTTATTTGAAATTGAAAAGGCAACTCTTTATCTATATAACAGAAATTTCACACTGTTGAGAACCATATGCAGACAAATTATTCAACTAGGAAAAAAGATTCATTCTACATAAAAAAATGTTTGTCCTACTTAAGATTATAAATGTATTGTGACATTTTCCTTCCGATTTTTTCCTCTAATTATAGGGGGGAAATTGTAGAGAGAGACAGAAAAAAAAAATAGTACAGGTCTGAGAGACTACTGTACAATAATGGGAAATTTTGAACTTCTGTATGTAATATCCCAAATGCATTCAGTATCATTGCTTATGATTTACACATGACAGCAACACACTTTTCAGAGCTACGTCTACTGACAGAAGTAATAAAGTATTATTTTCTTCTAAAACCAGCTTCAATTCAACCACATTTTCCAAAGTGAAAGGGAGCAGAAGTTCTTGTTTTTCTACAAGTGTAGGCAGAAATATGTACTGAGAAAAGAGGAAAAAATTGAAATGAGAGATTATGCACACTGTTAACATAGTAGAGTTTTAGAAGCTTCAGCCTGTCTTTGAAATACAGGCAGAAGGGAGAGGAAACGTCCTGTGATTTTATCTATAACTTGCTGAGAAGTCTGACTGGCTTTGAAAGTTGGTTTAACTCGTTCAAATCTTCACTCTAAAATTCCTCTCATATGCTGAAGAAAAGCGGAATTCATGCAGAATGATGCAAAAACTGTTTACTATAATTTTAATAAACAATTATTTCAGTACTGAATAGTTTGCTTTAATTCCAATACTTAAACATTTACAAAACTCATTTCACTATTTGCCCAATACAAGAATTACAAGAGGAGACCTGGGCATTTTGTTTAATAAAGATGTATGCTACAATAGCTTTATCTTTTCAGTGGGCAGGCATGCCAAACTAGTATATGAACTCAGATAGGAAACACGGCACTTTATTACCCTGTAATTATGTAAGCCTTACCTACTTGACTTTTGATACAAGATTAATTGTCAGTACAAATGATGTCCTTCTGGTATAAAGCAGTGGCTAACAAATTAATCTCTTTCTACCCTTGAAAGTAATGATCTCTTCTGAACTTTGAACTGATGACTTTTAATCTTATCTTTAGCTACTCTTAACAGCTAGCTCTGCAGTAGCTATTGAAAACACACAGCTGAAACAGAAGACTAGTAACTTCTGTTTATGTGGTGTCAAAATGTATACCTCCTGTTTGAGAATAAACATTGACCTGTCTCTCCACAGGTAAGCAAAGCTTAGTTTCAGAGTCCTACTCAGCTCCAATGTTCTGGGAATACTATTCGCCTTTGCCAACTATTTTCAGCAACGACACAGCAGTTAAGAACCACAGCAAAGAAGTGACTTCTTTATAATTCACAAAGGACAATGAGAAGAAAGAGGGAATTCATGAATCATTCTTTTATGGCAGGCAATAAAAGTCACAAAAGGAGATACTCAAGAGCTAGAGTTAGGGTCCTAAATCCACATGTATGCTTTGTATGTTTGTTGAAAATACATACTTCAGAAACATATATTTAACTAATGCTTGAACTGTAGACTTTTTAAAATCTTGATATGTAACATGAGCTGTGAGCTGAAAAAAAAATAGATGCATTTTTGTAATACAAGAAAACATACAGAAACTATATTTTCAAATAGAAACTCCAACTTGTTAATTATACCATGCACTTGCTAGCATGTACTTCTCCTCCCAGCTCTCAGCACTCCCTTTCGTTAACCAGCCTGAAATACTGGTTTTCAATTCCATCTTCCCTCTCTACTTCCTCATTTTGGCTTGCATATTTCTCTGCATAAAAGTTAAGCTCCCTCCCTCTTTCAAAATAGTCTATGATTTAGCTTCCAACTACTTCTGTTTCCTTCCAAGAAGCTTGCAAAGCAATCACCAGAGAATTATAAAGCTTGTCCCAAATCTCCAGGAATAAAAACAAAACGCTTATCTACAAGAACTTATTCCTCATTTTTGCTTCCATTTCTTGTCAAATACATCTTTTCTATCCTAAAAGAACTCTGTCCTATTTTAAAACAAAAGTAAGCCGTTTCAGTCACTCTGTTCCACGGGTGCCGAAGGAAGCAGAAAACCTAAGAGACTTTTTTTTTTTCATGCTTCTTTCTTCTTACCCTATATTTCTCCAGTCGCTGCATTCCCCAAAACTATTATTTGTAGTAATTTTTTGCCTCCACTCCAATTGTCATTTTGTGTAGGAGTTTCCCACAGCTATTGGTATTAGTACAGCTCTCACAGTAGGGCTGATGGCAATGCTCATACAGCCAGTGTTAGACAACTGCTGCTTAAATTAAAAACCAAATATAAGCTACCATCCATCCAATTACATGGGCTGAACTGGCAGTAACAACTGCAGGAAACGTTAGGAGGAAATTGTTCAGAGGGGGCAAGTTCTGACATACTATGAACGAGCTGGGGCTAATTCTTCTCTCTCTCCCACCTTCAACATCACTTTCCACATTTCCTTACATGTCTGAAACAGACTGGCAAGTCTTACTCAAGGAACACATCAAATATGCAGCCAAGGTGTTATGTTGTATGATTCAGTCTTTAGTTTTAACCATTCAATCAGCCTTTAAAAAACCAGTAAAAATCTCTAAGCTGTAAACTGTCAGAACTCAAGACTGAGGGACCATGGCAGCTTAATCAGTGTTGTCTTCACCTGTCTGTAGCAGACTCCATTTCAAATTTGTCCTGAACTGGTCCTTCCACCTCTACACCTTGAGCCCAGCTCTACTTTGAACCGTCTTTCATACACTGCTCTATGGTAAATTCTACACCTTGCAGTGAAACCAGAATCCAAAGGCAGATTACAGCATACAGGTGAAAAAAGATGGGGGGGGAATATACATCATCCAGGGCAGCCTTCAGTGGCTACTCCTGAGTTAGGCACGAGACAATCTTAACACAGTTTCCACTGTAACTGTTGCCTGTAAGCACTTACCTGCCCAATAACCAGCAGTTACGAGTAAGCTGAATATTGGACTGAGGACCAGGTCTTAAATGAGAGCAGAAATGTGCCAGTCAGCACAGGATTTTCTTTTTATTATTCTTAAAGACCTAGCATTTTAAATGAAGTCCAGGTTGAAAACATTTTTTTCGTGAACATTCTTTTATGGACAATTTTATTGGCATGAAAATGTAATTATGGTGATGATGATGAATTAGGAAACGGCAAAAGAAAAATGAAACCCTCATATACCACATATGGAATTTCCTAATCAGAAAATCCTTGCAGCTCATTCCTCCAGTCAGTCAGGGTAATACATCTGTATTTCACACAGCCCATGAACACATTAAATGATCAATAGTAATTGGGTAGAGGTACTATGTCTTTTGGGTTTTAGCTCCTTGTATAACTTATCTCTACTGCTTAGTTGACATAAGTGACTTGTAATAAATAGCAGGAAATAGAAAGTGTAACTTTTACTGTTATTGCCCAGTATCATGAATGCTACTGAAGGAGAGAGCAAAGATTTTTATATTGAGGTGATTTTATAAATTTTCATGCTGTGAAGCTGCATTGCTAGAATTTATGGAGAACTTTTTCTATAAAGAGGGTAAAGATGCAAGTCATACACAGGCAGTTTGTGACTCCATAGTTCTTGGCACCACAATTATACTACTAAATCCATTTACTGCAGAAAACAAACTCCAAAATACATTTAAACTCAGTAACACATTTTAGAGTACAAAATTCTATTTAGGGCTGGGGGAGTTAAAGATTGAATACCGTAACATTTTATTGACTTTAGAAACAAAGAATCAGCTCAGTGACACATTTTTCTCTTCTTTGTGGCACATGTCATAAAACTTCCCTCACTTCTTGAACAGCCTTCAAAAAGACTATTGAAACACCACTAATTATTCAATTACACAATTCAACAGATGTCTAGAAGCAGCATGGACAAGAAGGGTGAGGCACTAGCAAGTTGTACATTGGTTTTGCTTTGTTGAGCTTTTTTTGTTTGTTTTGGTGTTTAGTTTTATTTTTTTTTAATTCACAACTACAATATTGTTACAACAATATTTTTTGCAAAACTTTGTAACAGTGGAAACTAAGGTTACTGAACAATGCCTCGTGTTTAAAGACAAGGAAGGCTGTTTATGATCTGCTTCAGTAGAGATAATAAATTTAATTGTTAGAAGCACCCGAAAAAACACCAGCTTCCTCCTCCCATCTGCAAACACAGAAGTTTGTGAAGATCTTCTAGTGTGCTCAGACTTCTTGTGGAGAATTACAAACAGGTCTGGTTCCATCAGACATCTATCAGATACCTGATCCAAGGAGATTCTCAATATCCTTAACTGGAAACTGAATGTGGGATTCAAAAAGTATAAAAAGCTTTATTATCTTTCTGTGTGAAATATTAATTCTGTTG